GGCACAATTTAGGGCCAATAAGAAAACTGATAATTTACTAAATGGCTGTGGTGGACTTAGCAGCTCAAAGCAGAGGTAAATAACGCGACGGGGACCCTGGGACTGTGTTTGCCTGGTGTGCACAGCTCAGAGCCCTACAAAGGAAGGAATAGATTACGTGTTAAATGGCTGTCAGGACGCTAATGTGCCCTGTACTCTGGGCACCAGAGTCTTAACCTCAGGGTCCTCCAGGATTTGTCATTAGTGGAGAGTCTGCCCCTGGTAGCATGAGGAGAGGTGTTCGTTTGTGTTTTATTTCCACAAAGTTAATTAGAGATAAGGGCAGTCAGTAAAATAGTACAAGATGTCTAATTTTAAAGTGAAGGTATAGTCTGCCAAATAACCCTAAATTGAGACCTCTAGTGAACATTGGAATGTTGTTATAGGCTGTACAGACTGCATTGTGTCTCGTCAAAATTCACGTGTTGAGGTTTAAAGCCCCCCGTTATATACCTCAGAGTGCAACTGTATTGGGACACAAGGTTTTGGAAGAGGTCATCAAAGTTAAATGAGCTTAGAAGGCTGGGCTGGTCCAATCCGACTGGTGTCCTTACAAGGACACAGACACAGGCAGAGGGAAGACCTTGTGAGCACAAAAGAGAAAACACATGTCTGCAAACCAAGGAGAGAGACCACAGCCCTGCCGCACTCCTGGATCTTGAGTTTCCAGACTCTAGAACTGTGATGAAATTGATTTCTGTTATTTAAGCCACTCCATCTGTGATGCCTGCTTTCTTATGGCACCCTGAGCAAACAGTACTCAGCAAAGAATCTGAGCAGTTGTGTTTCAGCAACAGCACCTATGATTCCAAGAATTCACGTTAGCATCAGAGGCCAAGAGCGTCACAGGAGAGCTCCACAAAAGACGAAAAGATTTGCAACCAATATTTGAAATCTAGTCTTGTAAGCCAAAGTGTTCTCCCAACAACCAGTGAACTCTGAAGGCTTCCCACTCCAAATCACTTAAGAACAACACGATTTTTGGAAAGTAAGAAGGAATTAAAAACTAGAGAAACAGTGGGAAGGCTTAGGCATGGATCGCTGAGAAGCCATGGTTATTACTGAATACATACATGCATGAAAGTCAGTAATTAATTAAATCAGTGGGATATATTCTTATTCACCAAATTATTCTTTATTGGTAACTTCAAAATGACTTTTGTCAGTGTGTTTTTTCTAGAGAAGGTGCTTTCTAGGGCATGTTTTCCTGTGTCTGGAAATATAACAAAATGTCTATTGAATTTTTGGATTTTGGGTTTTGATTTTAGATGTCAACTCTCTGATCCTAAGACAAACAGTAAGTTTGATTTTAAGGTATTATTAGGATCCGTGTTCAAGCTTCCAGCCATAGGTGAATGCACATTCCTAATTCATTTCTCAGGTCCTGGGAAATGTTACAGTGGAGCTCACTCTGACTGTGTCTCTGATACGAGACTCAGCCCACCTCTGTTACAAAGAGTTGATTGGGCTTTCTCCTAGCTCCGTATCTGAAGATCACCCCAAACAAAATGAATCAAACACAAAAAAGCAATACTTGTGCCATGCACTCCTCATTATCTTATCTTCTCTGACCAGTATCTAGCTTTTGCCTTTTCCCCATCTCAAGAAGGTATGGCCTCATGGGAATCAGCAGTAAAACTTGTGCAAAGGAGGAGTTGGTGCACAGTGTGAATTCTCGTATGTTGGGCTTCCGTTAAGGTGACCTATGTGCAATTTAGTAATAATGAGTGATTATTGGGTCTCTGTCTCTGTCTTTCTGTCTCTATCTCTGCCTACTTGCCTCTGCCTCTCTCTCTCTCTCTCTCTCTCTCTCTCTCTCTCTCTCTCTCTCCTCTTGCTCTTTCTGTCTCTGTTTCTGTTTCTCCCCCCCCCCCGCATTGTTAAGAACAAAAAGCCTTTCAAATTAAGTAGGGTTTTATTGTTTCTTCTTGTTGGTAGAGTTAACTTTATTAAGCAGTCTTTCAAAAACAATTCACTTATTTTCAGGGTTCTCTCTTTTTGTGATTTGGTCACACCAAAAACCAATGCAAGATTTTCTTTTCCCAAAGGGAATCAAAATTCTTGTAATTATCCAGCTGATGCAGAAGAAAGCAACAACAAAGAAAATTCCAATTCTTCAGTTACTATATTTGTGAATTTTATCAAGTGTTGAGATAACCTGTAGCATTTAAAAATACATATACAGAAAATGCAGGAAAGTCACAGGGAAAAGAATATATGACACTATTTAAATGAAATTTTTAAGTATATAAAAATCACAAATTAAACTGAAAGTATGCATCAAGTTCTCCTTGATGACTTTTAAAAGAAAATTGCCAAGGATATTAGGAAAGTTATGCAACTCTTAGATCTGTGTTCGTAAATCAATAAACATGTATGGGCTGATTTAAATGGTTCTAGAAAAAAACAAAATCCCATTCAGACTAGGATATTTACTCTGATGTAAACCTTAGAAATAGAATTGCTACTTAGGGTAGTGTGACTGAACACTAGAGGATGATGTTTTTGAGATTAAATTTATGCAATAAATTACATACCCTAAAAGATGAAATTTTGGTTTTCTGCTAATAGTTTTAGCTTTCTGTTAACACTTTTTGTAATCATTTGTTTGTTTTCGTTTTGATACTTTCTGTTCAAGCTTCCCTAGTGATTATTAGTGGCTACTTGTTAAAGAATCCACCTTATGGGCCAAGGGTTTAGCTCAGAGGCTTGAGTGCTTACCTGGAAAATGCAAGGTCATGAGTTTGAACTCTCCCCCCAAAAAAAGAATCTACTTTGCTCTTCAATTTTGCAACTTCACAATCAGCAGGCTTGCGATTTGAGATATAACTGATGGAATATTTCTTCGAGTTTCAATTAAAATAAAAGAAATCATATTCTGACCAGATTCAGAAGAACCTCACCCTACACCTGATTAGACCTTGTATTTGTTCTTTGCTTTCTGCTGTTTCAAAGTGTCCATAAGACTTTGTAAATTGGCTTTTGGTCTTTGAGGTTTGGCATTTTTCCCAGCCTAATCCTAATTTCTATTGGCTGCCTTTCTGTGATACGAACATCACCATCTTTAGTTCATAAATTTGTTGATGTTCATACAATAAACCGGAAGATCACAGTATTTAAACCAAGTTTCTGAGTAAATACCTTTCAGATAAACAAAATGATTACTCCTAACTATGTGTGTAGCCATCAGAGGCCAGGTCTTAGTGTGACTCTTAGTCTTAAGTAAGGATACAAACAAGCCACCAATCAGCACCATCCTATTTGCAAGGAAAGGGCTAATACATAAGCTAGCTAGGAACTCACATTGTGTCTGGCTAAAAATTCGTTCAGGAAGGTAATTAATAATAATCAGTCACTGAAGTATCTTAGCACAAACACTGAATGGCACTAAATTCCCTATAGACCAAAAGCAAATATATAGTTTTTAGAGACGTCTATTGGAAAAAAAAAAAAAAAAAAAAAAAAAAAAAAAAAGACTAGTGATTCCAAAGTTATGTGCAGGACTTGAGATCATAATCTGACTTTGTTTCATTTGTCCAGGATTCTTGGTTGGACCACAAACACAGTAATTTCAGTTAGTATTTTGGGCACTGTTTTTATATGATTCATAAAGAAAAGATGCCTTAGGGAAAGAAGTGCCTTTATTATACCTGATTTTCTATGTTGGCACAGAAAAATCGTGTATCTTGGAACTTTCTGAAATTACTCATTGGAAGTGTAAGTATAAACCCATTTATAAACATTTAATTGGCTTACTGAGGATAGAAACAATGTTCTTTTGAATCGAGAATCAGTTGCTATATTCCAGTAGCAGACAGTTCATTAAGTTTTGTTTCCCAGAAGTAGTCATTCCTAATGGAAACCTCCAAAAACTTTCTTCCAAGTGTTTAAGCATATTTGAAGTGAAATCTGGCAGGCTGTTAGGCCCAAACATGGGCTATGATTATTTAGTATTAAGTAGTAAGGGAAACTCACAGTTTAATTTCTCATGATTTACAGCCAAGTTGTACATTTTGAATTCATGAAGTTTTGACAAGTTGTATTTTTGCTATTAGGAAAAATCGTATATACAATTTGGAGTTGGGGTACAGGTATAATTAAACTAGCAAATTATAAATAGGAACTGTATCAAGTCAAGATCATTTCAAATTATGCTGGAGCTTTTCAATTACCTAAAAGTCAATGATGAAACACAGACTTATATAAAAAATTACTGTAATCCTTACAAAAATATTAAAATCATATGTTAGGCTGAACTCAAAGAAAATAGACAGACGAATAATTTTGTGTTGTTTTAACTTTTTCAAGATCATTTCAGGTCAGATTTTTCTTAACTTCAGAGAGACCCAACAGAACAAACTACTAATTCTGGTAATCTAATTATAAATTATGAAAAATTTTACATTTTTGACCAATTTTTCCCTGTGTTGCTTTCCTATCGATCCCAATGACTTAAATCACATTCAAGAATGACAATGAACTTCATTTAAATTTAAGATTTGACATTAAAAAATCAGAATAGGAAAACATCCTCCCTAAAGTATCATATCGATGCCGTACACTAACAACATGTCCTCCTGGGCTCTCCTGGATGGGGCAGAGGGCGGCTCCACTGTTGGAAATTCATTTCACACTCATCCAACTTCTAGCCCTTCCTCGGAGCCCTCCCCCTGTCTCTCCTTTGGCTACTGAATCATCTTCAGTCTTCTCCTGGCTTCCACTCCCTGTCTTCCTGACTGATTTTCTAATTTCTCCCATAGTGAACTTTACAAAATGCCAATTGGTGAAATGTGTTACTGGCTTCTCATCTATCCAACAGTAAAGAGCAAACTATGGGCTTGACCTGTGACTGTCATGGTTTATGTCTAGGGCCCCCAGGCCTCATAAGTTTGCATTGTGCATTTGTGATGCTTCATTGTCTAGTGCTTGGATTGGTGGTGTCAGTGCTCCACCCACCTAAGGGTGGAGCCAGGATGTGATGTAATGGCAGGAAAAAGGCGTGTCTTGCTCTTTGCTGGTTCCTGCTTGCTGTTTGCAGCCTCCGTGAACTGCAGCCCAGCCATGCCTGCCTGCCTTGGAGCCAACTGAGTGTGGACTGAAACCTCCAAAAACTGTAAGAAACCTTTCTTTTCTCAACTTTGGGCTTCAAGTATTTTGTCTCAGCGACGAGTAAAAAGTAACTAAGACAGTGACCTTTTTCCCTGTCACCTTGGCCTCTCTGTTTTTCATTCATATACTCCATGGTCATCGCCCTCTACTGAGCTAGGCTTACCCGCACTGTGACAATTTAGCTCTTTCCTCTGTTTAGGTGTTTGAGTAAAGACAGCCAGAGTTAGCACGGCCAACGACTGAGGGTCACATTGCAGAGGACGTGTTACCGAGCGCACATGTGTAAGTAACACAGAGAGGAAAGGTTTTCTCCCAAAGCCCAACTCTGCCACTTACTGTCTGTCTAATCTAGGGCTAGTAACTTACTTTCTCTATGCTTCATGTTCTATGTGTGTAAATTGGAAGAGTGGTGTGCAGTCAGGGAGCTCACGGATGTGAAGCCCTCACAGCACGCTGAGAACAAAGCAGACACTCAGTGCATCATGATCCCATCACCCACCACCATCATCATCACCTTCTCTTCCTTGTCATCACTAAAGGTACGCGGTCCTTCAGGGTTATCTCTGTCATGTCCGCTTACACACCCAGCCTGAACCTGTCATAACCATTTTCAATTTAGAGAAAAGGAGGAGTAAAACTGGATTCAAGAAGTGAAATTAATACTGACAGGGAATTAGTGATAATTTACTTTGTCACACCTATGTCAATGTTTTCTGTTTCATTCATGAGGAAAAATTAGTATCTGACAGATGGTGCCGACCTCATCCACCCTAAAAGTCTTTCCATTAAAGCTTTTTGTAGAATCACACTGAATACATACTATTTTTGTTGCCCAATCAGGCTAACCCCATATTTCTCTCTGAGTTATGTTCAACATTAACATTCTCATATTCAGAGTATTTTCAGCGATATACAACCCGCAAAACTGTTTCCAAATGCTCCCTGCTAATTTGGATTGGATTTCTGGAAAATGAGTTCAATAGCTAGAATGAATTTTCTCCCGTGAACCTGGATTCTTATCTGAAGATCTAGCCCAAGTTTTAACAGTGCCAATGGTGTAAACACAGCCGAATCCCATGCCAGCCTCTTTGCTTTCCACCACAGAACAGGCTGCTTGGCTAGGTCAGACTTTTTGCAAGTTGCAACTTGGCTCGTCTGTCAGTCTTGTGACTCCTAAGCAGATAGCTTTTAGCAACAACCTTATTTCATTTATTTTTCAAAATGCTCTCCCAAACCTTCTTCTGTTCCAAGTTTCTTTCCATGAAGTGTAGAACTGGTGCTTGGGATACTGTCTGGTTACCTGCCAAAGGAAATAAACCAGGATGGGGCCATGTCTGTACCCACTGAAGAGGGCACAGATCAGTGGGGTGCCGATGGTGTGCCTTTATTTTATCACCTGTGGACTACATGTGTTAAATACATTTTCTTTGGGGATATCATTACCAATCTTCAGAACATATCATGAATATGAGTGCATGCAAACAGTTCTAAGATGTAAATCAACCCTTCTATCCATGTTTCCTACATCCCCAAATTGAACCAAACTGTTTAAAAATATAAGCAAAACAATATAACAATACATATATAAAATCTATTTATGAAACATTTACATTAAGTATTGTAACCTATAGATAATGTAAACTATACAGGAAGGTTTGCATAAATTTTCTGTGACTATTATGGTATCTCATATCAAGACTGAGCATACTTGGAACTCAGTATGTGTAGGGAATTCTGGAAGTCATCCATATGGATATCTACTTTTTCACAAACTTATTAATGTTCATACCTTATAGGATGAATATTCCTTCAGAGTGGCTGCTTAAAGGCTAAATTTTTCTAACAATATTACAATTCCTCAAATTCTGTTAAAATATTCTCTACAAAACAATGGTAATTCTTCAAGGTTAAATATATGTTTTGATTTTATATGTATAGATGCAACATAGACATATGAAACAACCATAGTAACTAGTGTTTAGTGTCAAGCATACTTATCCATATGTTTGTTTATAACTATAAATATTTCATTTGTAGTTGAAACATGACTGATGAAATAATTTCAGCTACTTGGTGACTCAAATGTGAATAAAAACAACTCTAGTTGCAAAATTGGAATAGCAGAAATGGTTTGATCAGAAATAAAACAGGATTTCCAAGGGAGCCCTTCAGCACATTTAAGCAAACAGCGAATATTTAGTCAGGTTTTAGCTAACCCTGGATACATGAAGATAATTAGCACAAGTGGACATCATTTGCTTGAATATAGATTCCAAAATATTTGGTTTATGTCAGCTTTATATATATTTGGTGTTCTGAAATACTCTGATCATGTAGTTTATCATTTAAGGACAAGGACTCCAGAGGAAGGAATAGGTTCTTTACCCTCTTCCTTGGGGGAGTTATTTAACTTTCTTTTCATCACCTATTTTCCTCATCTATATCTATAAAATATTAATATTGACTGTATAATAAGTAAGATAAAAATAGCTTAGTAGCGTTTCTGACACAATAATAAATTGCCATTCAATATGGAATAGGTGGTAAGAATTTTTTTTCACTTTGAAGCCTTCAAAAAGAAAACTATTTAACATGTGGAGAATGAGGGCTGGGGATTTAGCTCAGCGGCATAAGCGCCTGCCTTGCAAGCGTGTGGTTGTGAGTTTGATCCCTGGTACCAGTATTAAAAAAAAAAAAATGTGGAGAATGAACTAAGTAAATTAGAATAGAAAAACCTAGCTTCATGCTTTAAAAAAGTTAAACTGCTATGGAGAGGCTCGGTATCAATTTTATTGAATTGTTCTTATGTATATATGTCACTAACAATGAATTACTTTTATGTATAAAAATAATGTGCAAAAGATTTGAATGTACGCATAATCTGAATGCAGAAAAAACTCTAAATATTCAATTCAATCTTTTCTATTTTTTTCTTTTCTTTTGTTTCTTTAACTTGGTATGAAGCTGATTGCTTTTGTTTTAATTAGAACAAGGGGATGAGATAAAGCTTTTTCACTGGGAAAAGAGTCCCTTAAGGAAAACCTTTGAAGAGATTCCAAAAAAAGTCACTGCAGGAAGAGTGAAGGCAGGTACCATATTCCACAGTGTTTGTTTTTCTTGCTCGCTGGTTTCAGATGGGCAGCATATCAGTAAATTAAGAAGTAAACAAAGACCTATCTTGGATTACATCAGCTCCTGGGGCCATCAACACAGTAAACATCAGTCACCCCATGAAAAATACAGCCAGTACCTGTTATTGGACACTGGCCGGTCTGGCCTGGCCAGCAAGTGGTACCGTTAACGAATCCACTTATTTCTAATACAAATAAACCAAGGAGAGGAAGTGGTCAGCTAAGACTGACCTGAAGTCAGATAGCGAGATGGGAATAAAATGCTCAGGGCTGACATTTCGTTTTCATTTGAGACAGGCTTTTCTTGAAAATGACATGATCTTCTTGATACAGCTTAGTATGCCTCAGCTGCTGCCAAATTTTAAGGCCTTGTCTGATGAGTGTTCCTTTTTACCAGTGGAAAAAAATTTTTCCAAAGGAAAATATTCAGTCTATCATGATTCTGGTAGTAATCAGACTACACACAAGGAAAAATTATTTTCATTTTTAGTTCCTATTTTAAAATGTGGGTGTTAATAAGACACATGTTTCCTGTAAAAACATCTTAAACTTTTTGTAACTTCTGCTCAAATAATTCCGTCAAGGTATAGATTAAGGAAATAATCAGAAATGTGTTTAAAATATATATACCAAAGACATTCAAGAACATTTGTTTTAACAACTACAAAATAGAATAAAGGTTTAAGAATAAATTGACAAAATCACAGTCATTCTATATAATGGAATATTATGTTTTGAAAATATTAGAGGAGAAGCCAAAATTCCTGTGATGTAACATTAAATCAGAAAGATTATATATGTTCCAAGGAAATTATTCATACTTATAGGTTTTTTTTTTATTTCAGCAATTGGACATTTATTTAATTTCATTCTGTTAAAACACACAGATAAACACAAATATTGGAAAGAACATCATGAATTTCCTTAAAGGAATATAAAGATGATGTTTGAATTGTACTTTCTATGGTTTTTTTTTTTTTTTTTTTTTTTTTTATACCAGGGATCAAACTCATGACCTCGTGCTTGCGGGCAGGGACTTATGCTGCTGAGCTAAATCCCTGGCCCTATGTCTTCATTTTGACTAATGAACACCTGTCTTGCAAATTTGGTATGGAAGGATCATATGTTTTGGTCAAGAAATTCTATATTCAAAAGGAAGGTTTTATTTTTTAATTCCTCAAACAAATAGGGTCCCTTGGTTTTCATTGTTATAGATATTGTCTTGGTGTCTAATCTAAACTCCTCACGTTGCAACTTCACACACTGGCTCTTCTTGTTTGCTGACGTAAATTAATAGCAACTAATCACCGTCCAATGTGTAAGCCACATATATATGAAGCCATTCAGCCCTCTTCCTTCCTTAGGCTGAAAAATGACAGTCCCTTTAATCTTGCCCTATTGATCCTCTTTTCCACTCTTTTAATCATCTCTGTGAGAGTATCAAAAACAATTCTGCAACTGAGAAATTTGACAAAATCATGGAAAAAGGATTTGCAATACCACAATGCTTAACTCAACCATAAAAGAGCCACATTTTCGCTGCATTCTTTTCCTTCTTTCCTTTGCAATAATTAAAGATAAATAAGGCATTTCTAATTCCATGTTTTGATTTGATATGAGTAATGTCGCAAATTATTTTTCATAAATGGACAGTTGGGAAATGTGCTTATTGTTGGGTAGGTAATGTATGCATCTATTAATCCAATTTATAGTTGTCTTAGTGGGGTGCATGCTATCACATATAGTAGAACTACAGGTTCTATTAAAATTAAATGAAAAAATTAAAAATTTATTCACCATGAATACTGAGTTAATTAATTCACCAATCATTAAGAACCATCTTATTTGGAGCATTTATGTCATAAATACTGCATATCAGAAATGCATAACTGATAGAGCTATCATCAATGTTTTTTATTTATTTGTTTCTAATGTTTGGTTACTACTCCATGTATATGATATCCAGGATCTCTTTATGCATCCTTAGTAACTGCTTACACCTTTCCCCCAAATCAAATACTAACAAGTGACACTCACATAAAGAATGGTATTATAACTATGCTTACATTTATAATGTGAACACATATGTATTATGCACAACCCTAACCCTAACCCTAACCCTAGTGCTATATGTGTATTGGACATAGTACCTATTTAGAAATATGCATATATTCCTTTCAACCACTTTAGCAAGATATAAAATATGCAATAAATTCTTATCTTCAAACTAAAATAATAATACATGCTACTCATACCTCTATGCTCCCCTGCTTTACCCACCAGAATTTTCTAGTTTGATAGATTCTAATTCAATGAATGAATTCATTACATTTTTCTGGGACAATTGTTGAACTAGCATTTTTTGGAATTTCTACTTTACCTTTTCCAATAAATGATGGGCATCTGTC